TGTGGAGCACTGCACACGCCGATATAATGACGGTGGCTGTTGTGGGATGATAAAACAGAGCCCGGTGCCTTTGCAGACACCGGAATCTGCTCTTCAACAGCCCAATGCAGCACTCCACAACAGACCTCATCGAAGAATGTGCCTTATTAAACCGGCCGCATGCGGTGGAGGTCGCGTGGAATCCAGGGACAGGGGTGATGAGCCAAGGCTCCAAGGCATAGCCGCTGTCACCTGCACATTCAGAGAAGGAAATGTATGATATTAATGCTGTTCTCTTTAACAGAATACTTCAACGAAATTTGAAATGTACCCGTCATGTTCAGAAATAGGCTGAACATGATCCACAATACCCGTAAATGACAATCATACATTTCTCTTTTGAGCCTTATGGCTATATTTTTCATTATAAACAGGCCAGACTGGCAAGCGCTCGGAGAGCAGCCACCAGAGAGCACGTCACATCCGGTGCAATTGTGATGTAGTTCCTCTTGGGATGAGCAAAGCTGCGGCGAGGCAGACATCGTCAGGATGCCCTAGCTGTTCAAGCAACAAAAGCGGTCGAAGCATGCCAGCGATCAGGCCACCGCAACAAACCCCAAAGCTGCTTTTGTGTAATTTTGAGTGACAAATTAATATTCTATAATCTTGGTACACACAAAAGAGAGTCCCGTTGAGTGTGGAGTTGCTCCTTCCCCTTGTCTGTTCTGCTGGCCGTTGAGCTGTCAAGATGACGTCAGGTTCAAAGCATGTATGGTTCTAAGCGAGACAGTTATCGGTCACTACCTGTCAAGGTTCCTAGACATCTAGAAGGTGCTCTTTCCTAATCGCCTAATTTTTTTTAATGCCTTTTTGTCTCTTTTTTAACAAGATATTGGCGTGTCCGATGTGATACTGCTCTTCTGAACACGTATAGACCAAAGAATAAGCACCGAAATTTTGTTGTAGTATCCCTTTAAAATTGTTGACAACTAAGCAAAGAAAAGGCGCATGTTTGCAACCTTTCCCCCAGTACTTGACAGCTGCGTCAGAGTGTTTCCAAGGAGACATGTCACAGGTATGGCCAGAGCGCATGCCAGTTATCTATGTTCGCAACAGTATGTGTGATATTGTAGCTTATAAGTGGTGCAGAGCCATCATGTACAGTACCAACAACTGGAGTATGCTTACCGAGCAGAAACCTGCCATCGTCTACCAGCCGGCCTTGCTCGAAGTTGCTCCGGAGCCACGAGTAGTGCCACACGAAGGAGTCGTGCACCGACCCAGGATACCGTGGGTCGATGCTCATGACCCGGCAGTCGGCGTCACACACCTGCAATAGAGAGACATGTGTCGACATTATTTCAACTGAATCCACAAACAGTTCATTGCACTCATGGTCATGGAGCCCTGTCAAACACGATTTACATGCTGACCAACACACCACCATAAATTACGTGGTTTACAAACTTAAAACATTAAAACAACGCAAAAAACGACGGACTGGATGAAGGAGGATATAGACAGAGCGCTGAGCGCAAAAAAACAAAAAAAACAACAACAAAAACAACGACGGACTGCATTGTGAAGGACACAGACAGAGCGCTGTCTGTGTTACAAAGATTAAAATTATATGATAAATAGCCACTACCTTTGATCCACGCAATAGTTTAGGCAAATTTGCTTTTTTCTTCAAAGGAGAGTTTACACTTTATCATGCAGGACACGAACTATTGCTTAAAAGCTTAACACGACATGAAAACAACCCTCCCTCCGTCCGTCGAACAAAAGCTTGTGCGGAGGATGAACGAGCACTAACAACCCATAACTTTAATTTATAAAATGGCATATCCACACCGCATTAGCGTTACGCTCTTTTTCAAACCCATTCAGAACGGGCATTGACCTATAGCTAAAAGCGCGAGCTAGCTGCTTTGGATAAAGCCCCGGCGGCTGCACGAGCGCTCGTGCAGCGAGTGCTCCAGTCAGGCCGTTCGCGCTCGCACAGTCTTCTCAGTTAGTTCATGCTAAGGTGAGACGTAGTATATATGTGATCGTACTTACCACCATCACGTTGAGAGCGTAGTATTGCTTGCGGCACCAATACGCCGCCTTCGTGACGGTGGGGTCGTTCTCTGACGGGGCGACGATGGCAATCATCGTCCCGTCGACGCAACCGATGACGCCGGGTATCTTGCCGAGCCGTTGGAAGCCCCTCTCGACGTCGTCCCTCTCGCCGGTTGTCTGGGGAAAGTCGATCCAGCCGCGCCGGATCCCCAGACACTGCACAATAGCGAGGGACACAGCCCGCACAACGATGCTGACTGTAGACTGATCCCTCGCTATGTGCTCGTCGCTCGCCACCATGCCCTGAAAACTCCCCGTGGCGTAAAAGCGAAGTGCGCACAACACTTGCTGTTCCACAGTCATCACAGTCCACGAACGTCGCAGCCTCCTCAACTCAGGCTCCTCGCGCAGTTCGTCGCACAACCAATGGACCACATTCTTGGTGAGACGGTACTGCCTCCGAAAAGCTTCCTCTGGTAATTCGAAGGCATCGCGGTGCTGCCGGTAAAGCCTCTCCGGAGCAAAAAAAAGTTCCACGATAGGAAAGCTGTCGCTCTGCCTCTGAGACGCCGTCGACGCCGTCTTTCCCATTGCGAAGAGGCGAAGAGAACGACGACAGACTCGTTCCCTTTTTAGACGAAACACCGAGGAAACGATACGTCAAAATGATGTCACTTCCGGTGATGGCGGTTCGCCGTCTCCGCCCACATTTTTGTAGGGAACTTTCGTCATTCGAGCCTCAACCAATCAGACGCGATGTCGTCACTTCCGTTTCTTTTAGGAGAAACGAAACATTTGTCCAACATAGGTCCCCAAATGTGCTGATTTAATAGCAACGGCTACTAAGCTTTTTCAGTAAGTTACGTCTTTTCTAGGGGAAGAGATGTTTTCTTGAAATTAAAGGAAGTTTTTCTTTTTTGGCTGATTGATACTTTAGCTATCTGAATTCATAAAAAAAAACCTATGAATAAACTACAGTCTAAAAATATGCTTTTTGTGTAAGGCATTGTAAAAATATTTGGCACTGGAGAAAACCAGCCTCTGGCGTTAATTTCCTCCTTCGAAATGTTCCAACCAATGAAACACATTGACAAAGAACTTCAATCCACACATAAACTCAAGGTACTACCATGACATTCTGCAAGCTAAAGTCTGTCCGCTATGGTACTGTCACCATGGCAAGGAAGTGTCAGCAAAATAGACTCGCGCAAGAGCCCATCATTTGCTGCCAGCAAGAGCTGGTGCCATACCCACAGGCATTGTCTGCTAGGAATGGAGCACCAGTCAAAGCTAAGAGCTGGACCTGAATACTGTGTTCGCCTATATCCTGTTGTCTTAGGTGTCTAGCTTTCTGAATTCCCTTGGCAATTTTGAGGAAGTTTGCCACAAGCTAGAGCTAAACTAAAATAACTTCGACGGATGCCCATAGTGATCAGGTAAGCTTATGCAGTCACGTGAACCTTGCGATCACGTGAAAGGTTACATGATCACGTAAGGTCCTGTCACTTCACGTGACAAATCAACCGTTACTGGTTTTGCAGTCCCCTGACACAAGTTTATTTTGGCTAGAGTCAAATATTCGATTTGAGCCTGAATAAACTGGTTTAAGAGGAATGCAAAAGGAGTAAGCACAATTTTGATAACCCGAACCCTAAAAACGAAAACTAAGGCGATGTCAACGTAAACAACACTAAAGTTTTTTTTTCTCAATTTCACTTCCCGATTGTCTGCAAAAATCCCAAACCCTTTTTCTTTTTAGTTAAAGGGGTACTGACAAGGCATTTCTGCTTGCCAAGGTTTTTATTTGTACATGACATATGAGAGCCCAACTATCCAGAACAGACTTTACAGCTCGAAATTCGTTTTCTTTCCGCCCGAAAACCACCGATCGAGAACTAGCCGGTTTCAATTGCGCTTACTGTCGTCTCCGTGTTTACGTGCCATTCTCAATGGTTTAGACACACACACCAAATATAATCAGTCGTAAGTAATCGAAGGCACACATGGAATATTAAAAATAGAAAAATATATGATAGCCATTATTTGTGCCCTCTAGAAAGCTGATTGAGAAAAAAAGTTGCACAGAGAACTGGAAGCACCCTGTGCATTCTCTGCACCATTCTCAAAATGGTGTCGTATCGCAGGAGTCGCGGGCTGGACGGCTGAATGAAGTGGACTAAGCAATGGCAGTGGACGATGGGCGTTGGACCTCTGCTTTAGAACTGCCGTTTGCGGTACCAGCGAACCTGTCTAGCTTCGAAAGAGAGATTGTAGACAAATCAAAGCAATTAAGATTTATTTCGTACGACACGCTCGACCACCAAGCTGATTCACACGGACGTCACCAACTCGGTGCCCCTTCTGGCTGAAGGCATTTCTTACCCTTACGAACACGAATTGGTCAAAATCAAATTTGGGGGTGTTACGTGCCAAACCAACGACGGGCATCTGGCACGTCCCAGTGGAGGACTGAGGATCCACCTAGGGATCTTTTGATGTGCAGCCGAAAGCTCGGTTACACGGCGCCTCCTCCGCAAAAAGCCTCCGTCAGATTGCGGGCACCTCGGCCGGGATTCGAACCCGCCACATGGGGATCTGTAGGCCAGCACTCTCGCCTCAGAGCCACCGAGGCGGCTACACGAATTGGTAAGAGCTTGAAAAACGTGCAGAAGTCATGTGACCTCTGACGTGCACATTTTTCGTCTGCTTTGCACAACCAGAAAAATTAAGGAAACGAAAAGAAAACGCGGTCGGGTGTAGTTACATGATTTCCGGCAACTCTCTCCTCCTCAACATTTCTTCCCCTTCCCCAGTCCAGTTTCCAGCAGTTGCGTTTTTTCACTTTATTAAAAATATGTGATATGCTGTAGCAAAATATTGGTTGGGTAGTCTTCTGACACCATATTAAATTCAAGAAAAAAAGAAAAATACACATTTGGGGGAGTGTCTGTGTCCCTTTAACATTTGATATAGTTTGGAAATTCGCATTCTGAAATGTTTTTTAACATGAGGTCATTATGTACACAAGACTTACCAATGTAATACCTTTCGGCACAGTTTGAGGAATCCAGCAAGTGTTCTGTCAGTTGCTTTGTGACGCCAAGAAGGACAGAGTGCATATACTCGCATGCCTGGCCAGACACCAGGTCATAGTGCTTGAGGTTCACCAATGGAGAAGGTCCCTTCAATCCATTTACCGTTGAGTCATATGCAACAGCATACTCCATGTCGCGGAGAACGAGCTTGTGTGTTCGTTCTTCACTCTGCTGTGCCTCTGGATACCTCATAGCACCTGGTAAAAAAAAATATTGCAACTTTTGTAAGGGCAACCAAGCAAGGGGGCAGGTACAGTTAAAGATAAAAAAATATGATTAATAGATAATGTGACAAAAGGAACGAGAACACGTTGAACACATCTCATATAATTTACCTTCAATGTGTTGCCCAGGAGCCATGCACCATGGGCAGCCGAAGTAACCGTTGAAGAGAACTTGGTTCTGGACGGCAGCACGTGCCGGAGCATCGACACAAGAGCATACAGCATAGACTTTTGAAGTCACTGTTCTTGAATTTGACTGCCAAACTATGGGGCTCATGTTTGAGAGATGCTCGACGAACTTGTCCAGGAAAAGTGACATGTTCGGATGTTTTGTGCCGAACCAAATGCCAGCAACTCCACTTGCCAAGAAACGCTCGGAGGCCGGCACTTCATTGATAACAAATTGGAGAGGCCACAAAGACGCCTTCGACGACTTGAAAATGGGGCTTCCGTCTGTGTTGAAGGTGATGGTCAAGTCCCCCCACTCCAATGCACCACTGGTTTTGAGTTTCTTGTAGAGGCTTCCATCAGTGAAGTCAGATATCGTCTCTTCAGAATTGTCGTTCAATTTCTCTAAGTTGGTGAAGAGCCCCTCTGACGTCTTGCCGATAATCTGCCGCACTTGGTCGTGTAGATCAAGGATGGTGAAGAAGCTGCCCTTGCTTCGAAGCTCCGAGATGGTGGTGCAGTTCTGGCATGTTGCACATATAATTTTTGATGTCCTGTCCTCTGGTGTAGGTAGGTAGCCTTCACAGAACTCGCAGTAGTAAAAATCTGTTGAACGCCCGAGCTTCGACGCCAACAACTTTCTAAACAGATACTTGGTACGAGGAAGTTGGTTGGTTTTGGGGTTTTTTGGCGCAGCAGCATCGGGGCCATAGTGCGCCAGAAACATTGTGTAAAGGAAGCCTACATTCTTTAAGGACTGACTAAAGCCTCAAAGCAGACCTTACTAGGAACTAGACTTATAATTTCTGCAGAATATTAGTTTCTTCCAAAAAGTTGAAAACTTGTGAGACTGGGACAAGAGGCTCGTCACCCAGTAAAAGTGCCAAGTGAAATGGTACATGTTCCCGATAGAATATAGAAAAACAGGTTCGACGGTTCTCTTCAAAGTGTGGACAAACTATCAAAATGTGAAGTATACTTAATGGTTCAGAACAGAAGTCACAGGTCGGTTCACTCTCCCTACGCAAGAGGTAGCTATGGGTAAGGTGGGTATGTCCTATTCTCAATCGGCATAAAACTATCTCATAAAAACGCTCTCGGTGTCTGGCACTGCGCCACTCGCTCAAGATGGGCTTAATCATATGGAGTTTGTTTTGCAGCTGGGAATCCCATTCCCTCTGCCAGGCATATTTTATTTGCCTTTTTAGTGGTACTCGGGGGGGACCCAGCAGAATTCTATCTGTATTTTCTTTGCCAGTGCTTGTGTTAGTGTATTACAAAGTTGCACAAGCAGAGGGTGCTTCCAAGATGTTGGAGAGTTGAGTGCTTTCAGTGAGCTCAGAGAGTCGGAGAAAATGACAGACTTTCTATATCGATGTCTGACAATGTGGTAAACTGCAGTTATCAGACCATAAAGCTCAGCAGTAAAAATTGAGGCATTTTTGTTTAACCTTTTTATAGATCTGTAGCCCTCGCCGATAGCAGCACAGCCAACGTAGTCTGTGGTTTTTGATCCATCAGTAAAGAAGTGCTTGTAGCCATTGTACGAGGTACACAGCTCTAGGAATTCTTGCCTGAGAACACTAGGGTCAACTGTATCCTTTTTGTGCTTGGTCAAAGAAAGATTACAACAAGTATTGGCAGCTTTCCAGGGTGCAGTTCTTTGTTGAATTTCAAGGACAGGAGAGAGAGTATCAAAATTGTATTGTTCTGTAGCAATTCTTACACGTAGTGCAAAGGGAGGGGTTATAGATGGTTTGTGCTGAAATAAGCGCTCATAACTTATATTTTTAATTATTTCATAAGCAGGATTTTGCGGAAAAGAACGGAGTCTTAGAAAGTACTGAACAGCGAGAAAAAGTCTACGTCTCTCGAGCGAGCACTCATGCGATTCAGCGTACAGGCTAAGTACCGGCGACGTACGGAATGCCCTCGTTGCCAAACGGATCCCCTGGTGGTGAATAGGATCAAGCATCTTGAGGGTGGATGGTTTCGCAGATCCGTAAACAAGGCTTCCATAATCCAGGGTAGAGCGCACTACAGCCCTGTAAATTCGTAAAAGACATACCCTGTCCGCGCCCCAGGTGCGATGTGAAAGAACTTTTAAAATGTTTAGTTTCTGCTGGCATTTCAGTTTCAGTGCCTTGATATGGGGGCCGAAAGTAAGCTTGCTGTCAAACGTCACACCGAGGAACCTGTGTTCCGGTCGGACAGGAAGGGGTGTGCCATTTATGTGAAGCGATGGTTCGGGAAACATTCCCCTTCTCCGAGAGAAGCAAACAGCCTCGGTCTTCTCAGCAGAAAACTTGAAACCGTTCTCATCAGCCCATTTACTCATTTTATTAATGGTTACTTGGATTTGGCGCTCACAGATAGCTAAATTACATGACGAAAAGCAGACCTGGACGTCATCAACATAAAGCGAGTAGGAGACCGAAGGTGGTATTGCTCGGGACAGAGAGTTGATTTTAATAAGAAAGAGTGAAAGAGAAACGCTCAGGACACATCCTTGTGGGACTCCATTCTCCTGGATGAAACATGATGAAAGGGTTGTTCCCAATCGTACCTGAAAGGTGCGATCCTGCAAAAAGTCTGCAATGCAATTAAACATATTTCCGCCAATATTCATCTTGATAAGGTCTTGAAGGATACCGTACCGCCAAGTGGTATCGTAAGCCTTTTCAAGGTCAAAAAATACTGAAAGGCAGAACTGCTTGTTTATAAAGGCCTCTCGGATGGCCGTTTCCAATCGTACGAGGTGGTCGGCAGTGGACCTGGCGGCACGAAAGCCACACTGTAAATTGCTTAAAAGCGAGTTCCGTTCAAGAATGAAGATAAGCCTATTGTTAACCAGCCGCTCGAATGTCTTTCCCAGGCAGCTAGTCAGGGCTATTCGCGAATCCAACTGTCTATAGGGGGCGCCACTGCAGTTTTCAAGATGGCTGAGTTAGTGAGGGTCGGAGGTACTGGGAGATCCCTCCTAATAACAAGTATCCTAGCTTTCGCAAACGCGACCCTTTATTCCCGATGTTACGAGGAAGCGGACCTTTTGCTCCAGGCAAAACACCTTTTCCTGTGTGGAAAAACCGCGTCAACCGAGGACAGTGCGGACATACTCGCCCTGTGTCTCGCGACGAGTAGCGTCCGAGGAGACCCGCACGAAATCCACGTGAAACTCGTTGCCGGAGACGATGCTTTTAAGTTTCGTGTGGGAAGCGCATCCTGCTCGTGCGTGGCGGGACCTTCCGAGTGCTGCAAGCACGTAGTCGCCGTCCTCCTACACTGCAACAGGTATGTACCTATTTATGGGACTTTGTACTGAGGTACGGCAGCGAGGGTCTGAGATCGTCTTGCTGGATCTGTGTTCGTCACTCGCTCATATATGGATACAGGCACGCCGAGTACTAATAGCCGCTGTACACTTTGATGTCGCGCATTGAAGCACGATAGTTTCTGTGGCGGTGGCTGAAACACGCTCCAAAATGCGCCGTGATTGAGTGCCTCCCGGAGTTCTGTATGCCAGATTTTTTTACGCGCATAATACGTCGATCCGATCGTTGTTTCTCAATCTGGCACAATTTTTTCTGGCACGGTGGAAAATCTGAGAAAATATACGGCGTAATGCACATATCAAAACGCGAAATAGGAACTTCGCCGTTCACCGGAAAGATATGCAAACTTATGGTTTCGGTTTCATTTTACAGGACGGGAATTCATGCTCTCGAGGACTTGAGCTGCACTGATAAAGAGTGCTCGTGGAGGAAGGCGCCTGGAAAGGCACTGTACGGGGAGCCTGTGCCCGTGAAGGCATTTTGTCATGTAAGAATGCTGCCAGCCCCCCTGGAATGTTCTACCCAAGAGAAGGGGGAGATCTTGAAGCTGCTGACAGGCGCCTGCTACAACTCCGCGCTTGCCAAGCACAGGTAGTGAGAAACGCCCGAATTTAGAAATATATGAATGAACCCATACTAAAGTATTAGTACAGCAATTCCATAATCTTTGCAATTGCTTTTTTGTCGCACCTTCTGAGAGAGAATAATAAAATTTCATGTTACCTGGACGCTATCGATGATCAGTAGTATCTGCAATCACGTCAACATTAAGTATTCAGCATTGATCATAAGTAGTAGCAGTAACCATATCGACATTTAATTTAATTATTCAGCATTGATGATGAGTAGTTGCTGCAATCATGTCATGTTTAGTTTAATTACTCAGTAAGCAGCCTTAACCGAATAAACATCATGAAACCAGGAACCTGGTGGTTCTGAGTTGTGTATTAATTGTTGAAATTACTAATCCAATTGTTTATGGCTTTTTCTTGTACAGAAGAAGACGGCGGGCAGAACAGTCATGCAGGTGAGCTAAAATGTGCTTTTTTAGTCCCAGGAGCCGGCTGACTCACTGGCTCCGAGGCAAAGTGCTAGCCTACGGATCTTAAGTTGCCGGGCTCGAATCCCTGCCAAGGTGTCTGTAGTCTGGAGGTGGCTGCCTGTGGAAAGTGTGCAACGAGCCCTCTCCACAAGGCCCATTCACACAGGAGCATTTGTTTACATTTTCTTATGTTTCATTATCAGTCACTGGGACATCCGTGATTCGAATGTTGCGTGCACAGCTACTCTTTGAACTGGCTGCCATGGTTCATACAAAACACAGATTTACCTGTGATTCTTGATATAAGCTATCGTAACACAATGCAACATAACCAAACGGTGCTGTGCGAATGAGCCCTTTGCCTTTCATTGGGCCAAAACCGAGATTTCGGTTTCAGGTTGAAAGGTCCCCAGATGGTTGAAACGAATCCTCAATCCTTCGCTTGGGTGTGCCAGATGCCAGAATTTGTTGTTTGCCCCCAGGAGCCTAACATGAGTCAACACTATTACGTAAAGTCTGCTCAAATTGGAACTCGGCAAGTGCAGTAATGCAAAATATTCTCAAATCGCACTAAAAATTAGTATGCGCGGCATAAAAAAGTTAGTATTTTTTGCCCACAACTTGCGAAGAAATGAAAGCGATAGCTGTAGCATGATAGCGCAATGCGGATGAAATGGCGCTGTCGCATACCCGAGGACGAAAGTGCAATGTGGTTAGTTCTTATAGCCGTTGTGGTTGGCATCACGCAAGCCGCTGACGACTGCCACCAGTAGTGAT